CGCGGCATGGGGTTCGCACTAGCCGGCTTTTAAAAATGGCGGCGCCGGCTTTATGCTAATGAAGCCCGGGAAATTCAAATCCCGGGCTTCATTAGCAAGTTCGGTATGCATACATTACCCCGCTAGTTCGAACTAGGGGGGTAGTGTAGACATACCCTAGGAGAGTGGGGAAGCACTGGGATGGGTTCCCTAGGGAGGTGATGGAATCTCCATCCCTAGAGGTCATTAAGTCTTGGCTTGACAATGCCCTGGCTGGGTTGATTTAGTTGGGATTGGTTCTGCCTTGGGCAGGGGAATCGACTTGATGACCTCCTAAGGTCTCTTCCAGCTCTATGATTCTATGTATGTCCATCATCAACCTCCCCTTCATCCTACTGTGCTGGACACTTTCCCTGTTCAAGAATTTTACCTACGTGCTGTGTGTAACACTCTGGGCCAGCCCTAGAGCACAGAGTGTAAATAACTAATTGCACAGAGAGACAGAACCTGTAAGCCCAGGTGGAATGATGCATCTGGGGTCTTCTCCCAAGAGAACAACAAATCCCCTGTGTGCAGAGATGAAATAATTCCCTGGCTGCTGGGTTAGGAGAGGGGGTCAAGAAGCTACACGTGAAACGTGCCCATCAGAAGGGTTTGGAATTCCCCATGTGAAAGAGCCAGTGACACAAGAAGCAATGGACTTAATGCACAGCAAGGGAAATTTGGGCTAGATGTTGGGAGAAAGTTTCTTGGGAGAAGGGTCGTTAATCGCCGGAAGAGCTTCCAAAGGAGATTGTGGCATTCCCGTCTTCAGAGGTTACTGAGAACAGCTGGACAACTCCCCGCCCCCACCCCAGCAGGGATGCCCAGGTTTATTTGGTCCTGCCTCAGTACAGGGGGTTGGACTTAGGACATCTTGATTTCCCTTCCAGTGAGACGTTTCCGTGATGCCCCCCTCCTCCACCTGCCTGGGCTGGGCTGCCTTAGCTGAGATGTCTGGACAATGGAGGGTGAAGGGTTCCCCGAGAAAAATTCTGAAGAAGCGCAACTTGTTCAAAATGTTTAATTTCAGATTTTGAACACTGGTGAATTTCAGTGTGTGGATTTTCAGGGGGTTGTTACTGAATTGTTCTCCCTTCATTCCCCCTTCCTGCGGGCCTGGGCAGTGCTGAGCTGGGTGATGGACAGACAGACTCAGGCACACACGCCAGCTGGGACAGTCCGGCTGGGGGAGAGGGCAGCTTTTCCCCAAGGCTGGCCCTGGGCTATTGGGTGGCTGTCTAGGGCCTGGCCAACACTCAACACCTTGTGGCCTGCCCTCGCTTCCCAGGCGCTGAAGGAGAGCTATTGCCTCAGGGAGCTCACCAGGCAGCAACCAGGGAGCGGTGCTGCTGATATTTAAGGACAAGTTGCAGGCTGTGTCCTTGTGGGGGGGAAGGAGGAAGGGGGGACTCCAGGAACAGCCCTGTGGCTGTGGAGAGCAGGGAGCAAAGTCATGGAAAGGAAATCCCTTGAGGTGAGAGCCATGACGTGGCATCCCCTATTTCCCAGGACCACTGCCCGGTGGGTGGATGGCCTGTAACTGTGACTGTATTTCACACAGGCCCCTGGTCACGGAGAGAGGCAGTGAGGTTAGGGAGTGGTCATTTAAATGCCTGTTCTGATCTCACACTGCTCGGTCCGCCTTCCCATGCCATTGCCTCTGGCACCGCACTGTGCAGGGCATGGCCCGAGGGAGTACTTGAGCAGGAGGGGTAAAGGCCCTGGGTAGGCTAGGGACCGACAGACAGACAGACAGACAGAGGGACTCACCAATAGCTAAGCAGATCTCCTGGCTGCTGGGGCTCCGTGCTGAGAACAGAAAGGGGACGTGGGGTCAGTGCCGGGCTGGAATCTCCCCTGCAGAGAGATGCCCCTAACAGCTGTTGGAGTCTGTGCTCCCCTCATTGCCCCGCTCCCGACATGACCAATTACTTCTGAGGAGGCTGATGTCCCTGCTGAGAGACAGGCCCCTGGGCCCAGCCGATGGGGAAGGACACAAGGCAGCTGAGAGGGAGCGTCCAGCAGTGACCTCTGAGTGGGTGGGAGCTGGACTGAGTGTGACTAAGCCAGTGGGGGAACCCGGGTAAAAGGCCCAAGGAACACGTGAGAGTCTTGAGAACAGTCACTGCCGGGAGCCAAGGAGCCAAGGACCTCAAGGGAAACGTGTCAGGAGTGCAGGGCAGAGCGGTTTTGCAGAGGGACTTGGCCGGGTAATTGATATTGAAGTGGATTGTCCTGGGGTGGAGTCAGCTCCACAGAGCAGCAGGTGAGGGTCAGGGGGGCGCAATGTGACACTAGCTGTCACAAGCAGTGCCCAGGGGGCGAAAGGTAGAAAAAGGGAAAACCTGTTTAAAAAAGGGGCGTTAGTCACTGGAACAGCTTCTAAGGGAGGTTGTGGAACCCCCGTCTGCAGAGGGCACTAGGAAGAGTTGGACCAACTCATATCAGAGATGGTCTCGGTTTATTTGGTCCTGCCAGACGTCAGGGGGGTGGACTTAAGGATGTCTTGATGTCCCCTCTGGTGAGACCTTTCCATGATGTGCCCATCCCCCACGTGTCTGGGCTGGGTAGACTGGGCTGAGATGGCCTGAGAAAGGGGGGCAGAGGGTTCCCTGTGACTCTGAACAAACACGATTGGTTAGAAATGTTTCATTTCAGATTTTGAAAATGGGTGAGTTTCAGTGTGTGGATTCTCAGGGGGTTGTTGTTGAATTGTCCGTCCACCCCCCTTTCCCGTGATGCTGAGTGGCTAGGCAGGGCTGGACTGGGTGATGGACAGACATGGGCTCAGGTGCACACACCTCCCTTACCAGTGACACTGAGGTGCTGGGCAGGGCTGAGCCGGGATTTGATCACCTGGTTGTCACTGTCCTTGATCTCGTACCCACAGGAGTAATTCCCGAAGCTGCCCTCAGACACCGCATGGTCATAGTGGTAGGTGAGGTTCCCTAATGAACTGTTTTGGGATGAAACCTCCTCCCCGTCCTTGTAGAATATGATGTGGGTGGCCAAAGGCCAGGAGAACACGGAGCACTGGAGCCGCACGGAGTCCCCTGGCTGGGCTGACGTCTGGTTCAGGTGGAGGATGGGGGCACGAAGAGCACCTGGCAAGGGGAATGGGTCAGAGCTGTCAGTGGGGGGTTGCTGGTGCCTGGTGCTGTCAGTAGTAAATGGCAGGGGGCTGGACCATGTTTCAGATGGAGGCTCTGATCCCAGCCAACCTGGAAAGATGGGGGAGGGAGATGGGCACTCTCCAGAGCTCAGGGGCTTCATTCCCTGGGGTCACTGGGGCTGCAGAAGAGCCTCAGGGCTGGGCTCCACTAGTGTCCTAGAACAAGGGTTCTGATGTGGGCACCGACTGGCCCAGCTGGGGCTCTATGGCCACAGCCACTGGCCATTGGGGGCTGTCTAGGGCCTTGCCAGCGCCTCAGCCTCGCTGAGCAGCACATGCCGTGACGGGCAGTCACCAACCCAGGGAGCCCCCCCTGCCGACAGCCAAGGGGCTGTGTCCAGTCTCTAGCCCCTCTGCTGTCTGTTCCAACAACCTCCCTGCCCTGGTGCCCCTGCTGTCTCAAAGCTGGCACAGGGGGCTCCTGGGGCAGTTCCAAGCCCAGGCCAAGGGAAGGTCCTGGAGCAGCAGCAAGAAGCGGATCCCCCTTTCCACGAATCACCCGGGACCCAGCTACGATCTCCCAGGGAAACTGCTGCTGCCTCCGGCCAGATCAATATCCGCCCGTCACCTTCCGCATCCAGTGGTGCCCCCCTGGTGCCTCATCCAGCAGCATCCCCTTTCCTTGCTTCTCAGACAGCAAACAACCGTGGCCATGGCCAAGGGCCACATCCCAGCTCCACTAGCCTCTGAAGCGCTGGATGCAGAGTAATTGGAAGCAGCTCCGTGGCCCAGGTCACATGGGATCTCAGCCTGGGTGAGCTAATGGTCCAGTCTGAGTGACCCCTCTCAAAAGCCCTCGCCCTCACCCTGCTTTCACCCCCATTCACCTGCCTGGGTGCTAAATTGTTGGACAGGGCTGAGCTGAGACACAGTCATGCGCACACAGAGACAGTTACACAGACAGGCACAAAACTTACTGGTGATATTGAGGTGCTGGGCAGGGCTGAGCTGGGATCTGTTCACTTGGTTGTCGCTGCCCTTGATCTCGTACCCGCAGGAGTAATTCCTGGAGCTGCCCATGGGCACCGTGTGGTCATAGTCGTAGGAGGATTTCCCCAACAAGCCCCTCTGGGATAAAACCTCCTCCCCGAACTCGCAGAAGACGATGCGGGTGGCCAGGAGCTGGGAGATCACAGAGCACTGGAGCTGCACAGTGTCCCCGGGCTGGGCCGACGTCTGGCTGAGCTGGAGGGTGGGGGCAGGGAGGTCACCTGGGAAGGAGAAGGGGCTACAGGTGAGAATGGGACAGGAGGAAAACGGCAGGTGTGAACGTGCCACCCCTTGGATGGAGGCTGAGTCCAGCCTAGCTGAGGCAGTGCGGCAAGGAGAGAGGTGACCATTCAGCAAGCCAAGTCCCTAGCCAGGGCCAGGTTAATCCTTCTGGCGACCTGTGATTTATAAGATCTGGGGTGGGGCCAAAAATCAGGGGTTTAGAGTCCAGAAGGGGGCTGTGGGTTGAGGCAGGCAGTTTGGTGCGGAGGGGGTAAGGGGTCTGACGGAGGGGTCTGGAGATAAAGTGTTTGTACTGTGGGATGGGATCCAGGCTGGGGACAAAGGATTTAGAATGTGGGGGGGCTCAAAGCAGAGGTAGGGATCCAAGGTCTGGGCAGAGGTATGGTGGTGGGAGGTTGTTCATGGCTGGAGTAGGGGTTGGGTGCAGGGCTCTTCACTGAGGAAACTCCCCTTTGGTGGCGCAGTCTCTAGGGAGGGGGCCGGCGGCACTGTGGGCTGTCCTGCACTCGTCTGCAGGCACCTCCCTGCAGCTCCCATTGGCTGCAATTCCCAGCCAATGGGGGGTGCAGGGACAGAGCCTGCAGGTGAGGGAAGCGCATGGACAAGCTTTCCAGCACTTGCAGAGGGGAAGGAATAGCAGCACGCGGAGCAATGCTCCTCCCAATCCTTCAAGTAGAGCTGGCATGCTGTCGGAAGGGTAGCCTGGTGTCTGGTATTGACGGGTGGGAAACCTTTGGCCCACAGGTCACTCATGGGTCATCAGATTAACCACTGGAGGGCTCCAGATGTTTTTGTTTGTTTGTTTGTTTTTAACCTGAGCATTCATAGGCATAGATGCTTGTAGCTAGGGATGTAAATGGGTAATCCTTACCTGGTGATGTGTACCAGTAACTGGTGCCCAGCAGGAACAGCCCCTGTCTGCGGCGTGCCATGAGTGGGGAAAGGTGCTCTAGCCTTGCGGGATCCATTGCACTGAGGTTCTCCACCCCTGCACTGGGCCCTAATTTCTGTCTAAAGTTACATTCTTGAATAAGTAAAATGACTAAAGATAAATAAAACAAACTTTCTATCTGAAGACTGTAGCATTACTTTGATGCTAAGGATGTTTGCTAATGTTTTTAGGGTTGCCAGATGGTTGAACCAAAAATACCGAACAGCTCCCCTCTCCCCCCCCAAAAAAACACCAGGGAAAAAATTCTGTTGAGGGTGGGGAGGGGGGCAAAAAAAAGGACTGCTGCGAGACTTATTAAGCAAAAAAATAAAATATTAAAACACCATGGCCCCTTTCAGAGTGAGTGCAAAGTTAGAATAGGGATAGGAACAGGAGCATTGCTTCCCCTTGGTCTTTAGGCTTTTTGCTGGCAGCCATTTTGTATTCTTGTTCAAGCCAGAACTTAGCTTCCCTATGGGACCAGGTAATCTAGAGGGGTGGAGGCCAGGTGCTGAGTGTGTGTTGGGTTGCCAGGTGTCCAGTATTTTCGCCTCCTGGCCAGGAAAAAAATCAGAAAATACCGGACATTTTAGGTGTCTGGCATTTTCTGATTTTTTTTTACCAGACAGGAGGCGAAAACACTGGATTACCTGGGTCAATACCGGATAGCTTGCAAGGAAGTGTGACCACATCATAGCTGAGCCAGGCCCTGCTAGGCAGAGGGAAGGGCTGCTGGGCTTCACTCCCTGGCCAGGGTTGTACAGGAGCTCAGCCTGAGTGAGCTAATTGTCCCCTCTGGGGATGCTGTCAATGCTGCCGGCCCAGGCCTGGCTGTTAATGGTGCTGCTGATATTTAAGGATGAGGCTCAGGCTGTGCCTTGTGGGGATGCGGGGCGCTCCAGGGACAGCCCTGTAGGTGCAAGCAGCAGGGAACCAGTGTCATGGGAAGGTAAATCCCGTTGGGACAGACAGACAGGTCGCACTCTGCTTCCTAGGGCCTGTGCCCCAGGGTGAGGTGGGTCGAGGATGTGACTCTCCATCTGCATTTCACACTGTGCCTGGGTCACAACAGAGAGGCAGTGGGGCTGGGAGGAGCCAGGCAGGACACCTGCACATCATGTTTGGATCCTGCCCACCTCCCCCTGCCATCGCCACTGGAAGTGCACAGAGTAGGGTGTGGCCTAAAGGGTGGCAGCTGGAGGCCTTGAGAGGGAGGAGTACATTAGGGACAGACAGAGGGACTCACCTGGAGCTGAGCAGATCTCCTGGCTGCTGGGGCTCAGCGCTGGGAACAGAAAGGGGACGTGGGGTCAGTGCTGGCTGCAATCTCCCCTGCAGGGAGATGCCCTGAACATCTGATGGGGGCCCTGCTCCCCCAGGATCCCACTCCTGAGGTGACAGCACCCCCTGCTGGGACAGGTACCATACCCAGCCCCGAGCACTGAATGGGATTCACACGCGGGCACCTGGAAGCCAGGACCCCTCCCTCTTCCACACAGCGGAGCTTTGGGCCTGGTTCCAGCCACACCCGTCCCACCAGGCCACCCTGCCTGCTCCATGTGGCCGGGCCAGCCTCTGTGCAGAGCCCTGACTCCAGAGTCCCCTCTGGGCCAGTGACTCCCATGGGGGTGGCCTGGAGGGTTCCCATAACCCAGGGGATCAGCCCTGAGCATCTCTGCCCAGGGATCTGCTCACAGCCTGGCAGCAGCTTCGTTCATCTCCAGCCCTGTCGGCCGAGCTCAGCCCCTCACCTCCCCAGCGGAGCCTGCAGCAGGGAACGCGCTACGGACAGGCAGAGGGACACGGCCCAGACCTGATACGGACATTTGAAAGACAAGCCCAGAGCAGAGCCCCTGATCCCAACCCCTCCCATCTGTACCAGAGAGTCCTGGGGCTGGACCTGGATAACCCCCCACCCTCCAATGGCAACGGCCTCCCTGCTCTCTGCCTTCAGTCTGCACTGACACCCCAGGAGCATCCTCCCCGGCGCCTGCCCTGAACAGAGCAGCCCTCTCTGCCGCTTCAGGGGATCTGCCAACTGCCTGGGCCTGGGGCTGCTCTCGGTTCTGTGTCCTCCCAGCCTGCTATGAATTAGCGCAGATTCCCACGTACTCACCGGGCAGCAAGAGGCACAGAGACAGGAGCATCGGGGCAGTGGGGGAAGCAGATCAGGATGAAAACAGCCCCCCAGTGTTCCCTCCTGATGGTTTCTGATGGGGACAAACCTTAGTGGCACCCAGACCCCACCTGCCCCCTCTGCTCTGCCCAGGTTCAGGACATGAGCAGCTCTGGGGTCTCTCTGCACCAATCTGTCTGCCCCCCAGGGCTGGATACTCCAGGTAGCCCCTCCTCCTGCTCCCAGGCCCCCAGGAGTCTGTAGGGGTCAGGCAGCAGAGAGCACCACTGCCTCTCTGACCTGCTCTGTCCCCTCCTCAGGTGTCAGATGTTCATCACTGCTCCCCATTTCCTGCCCCGCTCTGCCCCCTTCCCCGCTGCAACCGCAGCATCTCTATTTAGGGCTGTAGGACTGAGAATGGAAGGGACTTGAGTACGTGTCTGAGTCTAAACATGTCACTGAGGAAACATCCCCCTCCCCCATCCCATCTCATTGCCTGGGGACTGAGAGAGCCCCTGACTAAAGGCACAGCTGGGCCAGGGCTAAAGGTCCCTGGGTGCTGGGGGGGGGGGCGGGGAGAGTGGGGGGGGCGGACGC